ATATCTACCATAGTACTCACCACCTCGATTTGATCAAACAATTTTAACTTTTTTATCTAATTGTCTCTCGACTTCTGTAATGTACACCTCAAGGATGTCAATAGCTTGAGATTTCTCGTGAATTAGATACACATAACCATAATGAGACAAATCATCTATGAAGGAGATAAAGTATTTCTCTTATGAAATAAGGAGTTGAAAAGGGTCCGCATATATATGTATGTATTATCTCAAGAAGCTCATTACTCCTTGTGGCACCTTTCTGTGTATGCTTGATTTGCTTTCCTTTAATGCAATCCAAACATACTTGTGCAAATTTAAGATTCAAAGAAATTTTATATAAACCATCATATAAAACACAAGAACCAACAATCACTGAATTAAATAACAAACGTAGTCTTTTACAACCAAAAGTAACTGAATATCCAGAATCATCTAATTTGGATACAGAAATTAAATCCTAGAAAATGAAAGTACATAAAAGGTGTTCATGAGGTCCAACTGATGGCCAATCTCTAAGAGTAAGCGATAAGTACCCACAGCTACCACTTCTGCTTTGAGACGGTTTCCTATATAGAGAAAATTTTCACTTTCCTTCGATTTTCGTGTTGTAAGGAATCCCTGCATCAAATTTGTAGCATGAGTGGTGGCTCCAGAATCAACCCACCAAGTATTAGAAGGTACTTTAGCAAGATTTGATTCATAACCAGAATCAACCCACCAAGTATTAGAAGGTCCAGAATCAACCCACCAAGTATTAGAAGGTACTTTAGCAAGATTTGATTCATAACCAGAATCAACCCACCAAGTATTAGAAGGTACTTTAGCAAGATTTGATTCATAACATACAAAAGCAAAATGCATACCTTTCTTTTCAAACCAATTCTTGCATTTGATACCGTCCTTCTTTACATGTCCTTTCTTGCCACAAAAATACCATTTGACAACATATTTTTCATTATGACACTGGCTAGTTTCTCCATGTTCACTTACATTCTTTGGTGGAAAATTCTTAGTTTTTCCAAATTTGCCTTTCTTCTTTTTAGCTCCATGAGTTACAATAAGAGCTAAATGTTGTCCATTTTACCTCATTCTCATTTCCTCTTGAATACACTTACTAGTCAGCTCATTCAAGTTCTATTGCTCATTAGTAGTGTTATAGTGGATCTTGAATGGAGCAAACTGGGAAGGAAGTGAGTTAAAGATGAACTACACTAAGAAGGATTCATCAATATTCATTCCTAATGCATTAAGTTTTATATCCTTTTCATTCATGTTCAGAATATGTTGTTGAATTCCTTTCTAACCATCATATTTCATTATGAATTCAGCCATCAAAGTGCCAGCAAGAGACTTATCGGCACGTTTAAAATGTTCCTTCGTAGATTTCAGAAATTCTGAGGCTATCTCAGTTTGAGGAAGAGAAGTCTTGATATTGGCAGCAATGGTCATTCTCATAAAGATAAGATTGAATCTATTTGACCTTATCCAAGCCTTTGAATGTTGCACCTCCTCCACAGTACTTCCTGCAGTAATTTTTGGAGGTTTTTCATTTAATAAAGCCACTTCAAGATCCAATACACCCAATGAGAACTGGAACCTTTCATACCATTCCAAAAAATTCGACCCATCAAAAGTTGTTATTATAAAAGCAAGAGAATGCAATGAAGTTGGAACTGTAGAAAATAAGATAATGCTTATATATGGCCTCAAGTTTGTTAAAACTATAAATAACGAACTACTGATATCACTTTAATTTTTCCTTTGGGTAAAATTACAGTATATCTAGTGTTCAATCATAACTTTGTAAAATAAATTTGTACTACTTACATGTTACCTTTGGGCATCCATTTAAACTTTTCAGGTAAATACAAATAATGTTTTATTACAGATAATTAGTAAAAAGTGACTCTCCTTTGGGCTAGTCCCAACTACTAATTAAAAATAAAATTGAAAAGTATTATATATATGTTTTATGTAATTTGCTATCATAAAATTTCAATGTTTCAAGTCACTTTGGTAACTGTCATAAACTATGAAATTCTATGAAAGCAAAATTGACTATAATATATATATATATATATAGCAAAAATTGACTATAATATATATATATAGTATATATAATACTTCTACTTTTATGATATATATATATATATATATACTTCTACTTTTATATTGAGTCATTCTTTAATATTCAATTACTAAAAAGAAATGAACTTAATTTACTGAATTATAGCTCAACAGTCAGATATGCATATAAACATGAAAATAACGTTAATTCTAAGATATGTGAATTCAACTAAGCTGGCTTTGATACCAACTGTAAAGCATAACTTTAATGCGGAATGAAACATAAAGATCTTTGAATTCAACATACCTTAAGAATTTACGTAGAGATTTAGAAACATACCAGTAGAAGAAGATGCAGCCATGTTCAAACTTTACAATACCATTTCTTGAAACTTTATTACTTTTCACACTTTTTCTCTCTGTCAACTTAAATTACCAACATGTATGTAATTTTGTTGATGGAAGAAAAGCTTAACAAAGTGATGTTCTAGTTTTTCTTTTGTAGATGAGAGATGATGGCAATGCAGTTTTCTTATTTTAAAAGAAAAATATCGTGTTTAATAACTGTCCCTTCTTATATATATTTTTATTTTATTTTTATTTAATTCCAATCCATCAAGGAATCCTATTATGAAGAGAGTTAACTCTGTTATTTGGTATTATCCTTTACTTGGCTAATAACTATAATTGATTTTAAATACTAGATTAGTGGACCAATAAAGCACGTGAGTTTTACAGAGTGATGGTTATCTGACGGCGATTAGGCGGTGGTGGTGGCTGGAGGTGGACGTTGTCTTTGACAATTATGATTGTGAGGTTGATGAGCTTCGACTGTAGGTTCAGGGGAGACAGACATGGAAGGGTTAAGGGAAGGGTTAGTGGAAGGGTTATTAAGAAGAGTTGGTGTATAAACTCTGTCAATTCTAATCTGTTATTTGTATAAACTCTCTAAAATTTTTTTTAGAGAGTTTAAAGTTCAAATTTAATTTTATTCAAATTAAAGTTAGAATATAAATTCGATCTTTAGAGGGCAAACTATTGTGTCGGGATTTATTCCTCAATTTTTTTAGAGGACACTTGCTTGTGTTGATGAAACGACATAGTTTCATAGCTTAAAAAATGGGAGAGTTGTGACCATTAGACTCCCTTCTTAAAGCTGACGTGGACCTTATCTAGTACCTGATGGGCCCATTAGTGACAACTTTATCACATTTTCAATGAACACTAGGTCACAGTCATAATTGACATGAAATAATTAGTCCATGTATGGATTGACAAAATTAAACTATTCCATCCATAGCATACACAAAAACCTGGTTTGACTTTCACATAAAACTAGTTAATATAATTAAATTATACTCTCTCTGTTTTATCAATAAGAAAATAGAGAAAGTCAAAATTTCTCTACGATTAAGGAAATAGTCTTTTTATGGATTTTTTCTTAATTTACAGCTAAAAAGACAATTAAATAGTCCCCAAATTTCAATGATGAGAGAAAGGATAGTAAAGGATGAGAGAGAGGATAGATTATTTAAATATGGAGTTTTATTTGCTTAGATTTCTAACAAAATAAAAATGTGATTTCCACGGTGCAATACGTTCATGTTCACTGTCATATAAAAATGTTCACAGATTTTTACAAGTGTCGACTAACTATTTTATGTGTTTGCAATACTTTAAGTTGTCTATAAGATAAAGTTGTTTATAAGAATCAAATTATAAATATACACAACTATAAATAAATAGAAATGAGCACAACAATTTTGATTTAAGCATTGTAATTTAGAGGAAAATTTCCATTTGTTCTTGGATTTATTAGAGTTATAAGTAAATCTCACTATATATGCACACTTAATTATTAAGCACAAGCTTCTTGGTCAAATTTAATCTGTGTGCACAATGAACTTAAAGTTCACATTTTCTTATTGCATGGTTCAACTAGTTTTGGAACATTAAATGACCGGCCACAATAATATCTGCCACTTTTTTTTTTTAAAATATAAACCAAATTAAGGGCATATTGGACCTTTTGCTCTAGCATTAGTCCTAAAGTTATATTCACGAAATTTTCTCTACATAGACAGAGCGCCAAAAAAATGAAATTTTCTCTATATAAATCGAATGGAGGGAGTATTTTTTATTTATTTTTTTCCAAAACTATTCATTATAATATTAAATAATGTATATACAATTGAGAATAAGAATGTATATTTTATATATATATATTAAGAAATTAAATAATAAATGATGTTTTAACAAAAGTAATAGGAGTATATTTTGAAACAAACAAAAAATGAATGAACACATATATATATATGGGACCGAGGGAATAATTGATTAAAATTGAAAAAAAAAAGTAAAAATTTATCCTTTTATCATCATTAGAAAAAAGAAAATACAAAAACATAGTAAAACTATAAAACAATAATTAGGTAAAATCCTACTTAAAAAAATTGTTGATAAAGAATCTCTCTTTTGAATGGGATATGAATGAAATATTTGCCTTCATGGTTACATTTTATTTAACACAAACTGTTGTTGATAAAGAATCTCTCTTTTGAATGGGATATGAATGAAATATTTGCCTTCATGGTTACATTTTATTTAACACAAACTGTATTTTATTAAAAGACCATTGAGAATTTTATCCGAATATTATTTTAATCTAAACACATATGCAATAAGAAAAATATAATAAAAATAATCTACATTTTACATCTAATTATATTTTTATATTCTAAATAACACTAATACATAAATTTAAAATCACTTTAAGCAAAGTATAGTTTACACCTGCTTGCATGTTTTTATATTTTAAATGTAATAATAAAAAATATATCGATACAATCACAAAAATATTTTTTTCTTGAAAAGGAAGATACCACTTGTATTACCTTGAAGAACGGTGATCAAACAAGAAACCTATATAATTAAAAAATAAAGTCCCAATCTGGATTTAGTCGGTTTGGTAATAGGGTCCGGATACAAGTGGTTTGTAAAAAAAAATATAAATAAAAAATAACATATATAATTAAAAAGCTAATCAAGGACATAATTCTCCATATTTAAAAGCAAAATAAATTCAAACTTATTAACAATCTTGCAAATTAAATTGACAAAATCACGAAATTAATAACAGTTCTTGAATTCAAAGGAAGACAAAGACATCACAGGGAATTGGTCCATATGGATTTACCAAAGCTCCAGCTTTAGCATTAGTATTAGCCAAAAACCTAATCTTCAAATCCTTACATAACACCGTCATCTTCCTTCTGTTTCTTGTATCAATGTATGCAGGATAGTTTGTCCCACTACAATTCAACTCGAAAGAGAAGGTCACGACTCCATTTTCTCTCTTCTCCGCCATAACAGCCTCTGCTACAGTCTGGTTTATACTTGCTAACGAGGATTCAAGAAACACATCCACCATCTTAAAATCACCCCCCCTCTCATACTCCTTATATATATTTCCTATCTTTTTAGAATAAACAGTCTCATTTTTCAACAGAACAGAAGCCTCCATATTTTGGTAATAGAATCCTTGCTCAACAAAAGAATCAGTATCAGGGTAGCCCATGTAGACAATGATATTCCAATTTGCTGTTATATTAGATGAAGAGATATCAAAAGGATAAACTTTGGCTGATTCGATGAGGAATGTTGGTGCTTCAAAATAATACCTCAACTTTTTGATTTTCTGTGAACGACCATGTGTTAGAGATATCAAAAGGATAAACTTTGGCTGATTCGATGAGGAATGTTGGTGCTTCAAAATAATACCTCAACTTTTTGATTTTCTGTGAACGACCATGTGTTGTCATCCCGAAGACGGTAAGAACTGCCACCATGAGAACAGAAAAAAATAGTATTATGTAAATTGGAGGTATATTCTCGAGCTTAAACTCTTCATTGCCGTGAGCGGTGGTTATCTGGCGGGGATTACTTCCGCGGTGGTGGCTGGAGGTGGACGTTGTCTCTTGATAATTGTGACTGTGAGGACTGTGAGGTTGATATGCCTCGACTGTTGGTTCAGGGAAGACAGACATGGAGGGTTAGGAGTTAAGCAAAGAATAATGGAAAGGGTTTTTTTGGGGTTGTGTATAAACTTTGTTTCGTTTCTGATCTTTTATCTATCTATTTATATCTTGATAAGATATATATATATTTTTAAACGTTGCATTTGGATTTAGGAGTTAGAGTTCAAATTTAATTTTATTCAAATTTAAAATTTCTTTAAAAGTTTAAAATTAAAAAGAAAAGAATGCCAGTAGTATACTTCACGTGCATTCATTATTAACTGTCACTGGTATTGCACCAAAAGGTTGGCCTGAGTGGGAACGAAGGTGAGAACTTACGTAGACTATTCATGGTCTATTGAGCCGTCTATATAAATCAAAATAATGAAAATAGAAAATTTCTATTAAAACGAGTGTATTTTCTGACCTCACAATTGGAAAAAAAAAATAAAAATAATTTTTAAAGGATAATTAATTTCATTATTTTGGTCTATAAATGGAGTTATAAACCGATTCTAGATATGTATTTTCTGGAAATGACTCATAATTAATAAAAGATTTTTAATAGTTTTTTCAACGGGGTTGGTTCTTTTTTTTTAAATTGTCTTTGGTTATAAAGTAAAAACTTACTTAAGTCTCGTATATGAATTCACTTATATATTAAATTAATCAAAAACAATTTTTTGATTTATACGAGAATATTTCTGACTATATATACTGAAAAAAAAAAAAGAAAAGATAAAACATTAACATTTTTTGATTGATTTGATGAATGAGAGTATTGGTACACCAAATGTAGATAAATTTTTTGTTATGATTACAATATCTTCTCGAAAATTACTTAACTACTCTTGGTATATTGATGTATCACACCGCCTATATACTAAATCAATAAATAATTATCATTATCCTTTTTTTTTTTTCTGGTGATTGATAGCTCTTGACTACACTAATTTATAAAATTCGCATATTTTATACATAACTTTTCAAAATTATTTTCTATTTATTGTGTTATTTTAATTTTAATATTTGTTACATGATTGAGTAGTTAACTTATGTATTGAATTGAAGATCAAAATCATAAAGAAATTATAAAAATTACGTGCTTTAGTTTATTTGTAATATCAAAAATACCTTGAAAATTGAAGATTCATTTGTTTTTATTTTCTAAAATATCCATGAAATAGTAATTTCACAAAAATAAATAATAAATACTAAATACGATGATATATAATTTTTTATATTTTTATTAAAATAAATATACAAAATAAAAATAATATTAATAATAAAATTATTACATTTAATTTAGTGAAGTGATAATGTATATTTCATTTTTTATATTTTTATTAAAATAAATATACAAAATAAAAATAATATTAATAATAAAATTATTACATTTAATTTAGTGATAAATGTATATTTCACTTGAATCTCTCCCCTCAATAGTAAAAAAAAAAAGCTAAAAATATTAAAATAAAAAACACAATAATAAAAAATATTTTTCTAAAAAAAATTTTAAAATGGTTTTGATCAAGTTTGATAAAATAAATAAGTTAAAAAATTGAACAATTGAAAAATTGACTTTGAAGAGGAAGAAATATAGTTTTGCCATAAAAATTAAATTGGATGACTTAGTTTTGTAAAATTCATTTGGAAATTACACCTATTTTTGTAGAATTTATTGTAATTATATTCAATTCTATAGAATTGAAATTATAGAATTCAAATCCACAATTTTTTTCTTTCCATTCAAAACACAAAAATATGGATTTCTAAATGTGGAATTCATTTGTTCCGAACAAGGGTTACGTTTCATTTTTAACAAAATTAACACAATTAAAAATAATTAAAAAGATAATTAAAGATAAAATCTCTCAGTATTTTACTCACACTCTCAAAACATTAGAAGAATATGGAGCATCATAAATTCAAACTTGTTAATTGATTAACAATCTAAAAAAGTTGAGAAAAAATCAATAAATTAACAACAATTCTTGAATTCAATCTAAGACAAAGATATCACAGGAAATTGGTCCATTTGCATTTTCCAGAGTTCCGATATCAGAAAAAAACCTAATCTTCAAATCCTTACATAACACCATCATCTTCCTCTCTTCTCCGATACCACTTCCTGCATCATACGAAGGATACACTGTACCGACGCACTCCAACTTCAAAGAGAAGGTCACAACTCCATTTTCTCTCTGCTCTGCCATAACAGCCTCCGCTACAGTTTGGTTTATACTTGCTAATGAGGATTCAAGATAAACGTCCACGGCCTTGAAACTATCTTCCCATTCATCAAGATATAGATTGCCGACCACCGTAGAACAAACACTCTCATTTTTCAATAGAACAGAAGCCTCCATGTTTTCAAAATAGAATCCTGTAAAACTATAGGGGTCTCGAATATGAAGAACTACACTCCAGTTTGCTGTTATATAAGAAGAAGATATATGAAAAGGGTACACTCTGACTGATTCAACGAGGAATGTTGGTTTTCGAAATTTCTTTGCGATATACGCCAGATGTTCAGAATATCCTATTTTCACAAAGAAGATAAGGAGTGACACTATGATAAAAGAGAGAACTAGAATGCCAAATATTTTTTCAAATAGAGGTGATTCATTGAAATCAGTGTCTTCATCGCCCTGAGTGGTGGTTATATGGAGGCGATTAGTGGCCGTATTGGTGGCTGGAGGTGGAAATTGTCTCTGAGAATTGCGACTGGGAGCTTGATGAGCTTCCATTGCTGATTGCGAGAAGAAAGATATGGAGGGTTAATGTATATTCTTTGTTTGGCTTCTGATCTCTTATTTATGTATTTATATTTATTTTATTTTAACGTTGAATTTGGATTTAGGAGTTTAGTTAGAGTTTAAATTTAAATTTTCTTTAGAAGTTTAAAATTTTTAAAAAAAAAAAATCAAAGTTACATGTATGCTGTACACTTGTTTATAGAATTCACATACGCTATCTACAAAATATAAAATTTAATTCCTGAATTTAAAAAAAAATATTATGATACCTGAAATTTTAAAATCGATCTTATTACACCATGAACTTCACTTTTTGTAATAATCTCACAACTCATGCACGCATTAACAATATTTAAAATTTTTGACTTTTATATGCAAATATTGATTTAATATATGGTTAATATAATTTTTGAAATAATAATTTTCATATTTTTCGACAGTCTAATAAGTGTTTAATTAATCTAATTTTAAAAATTGAGTTATTTAATAGGTCAATAAAAATTTTTAGCATGTGAAATTCTATAAATTGAAGCGATTAATAGTTTAAAGTGAAAGTTGAAAGTTTGTGAAAAAAGTACAAAGTTGAATTTATATATTCATCCATTTCTTTTATTAATTGTGTTTAATTTTAAATGTTGTTATACGATTCTTTTTTTTTATTAAAAAAAAAAGTTAGATATTGAATTGAGAAAACTATAAATACATTATAAAAAGTTAGAGTACTTTAATTTATTTCTAAAATATACATGTCTTTTATAATTTCTTTATTGTTTATAATAATTATCTAAGGATAATTATATATTTAGTGTCTGAATTTTTCAGTTTTTTCTATTTCGATGTCAGAATAAAAAACACTAGCGATTGAGTGTTTATATTTTTAAAAATTTGCAATTTAATGTCTATAGCTGAACTGGCTAGCCGGAAACATGACTGTTCAACTGTGGAACCTTTCTTTTTACATGTGGCAATTGACGAGGAGAAAAAGAGCTCAAATATGATATGGAAATGCTGAAAAATATCATTTTTAACCTCCATTTATTATTGCCCAACAATCTTCTTCTCCGTCTATGCTGTGATCAAATCCCCAAGCCGACCCTCAGTGATTAATACCTGCAGTTTCTTGCTTGTTTAAATCATAAATGACAAGCAAATATCAACAGAAGTTAAACTAATGTAAATATGGCTAATCACATTTTTTTGTTGTTGCTTGAGATCTCTAAACACAAACAACATAGTTATATACAACATACAAATCAAAAACCTCATCTTTTATTCTTCATTCAAAGAATCAATGACTTCTTTCAAAAAAAAACTATATATGGGTTTCTTTGTTTTGCATGAATATAAGAAATCTTAACCATTTAACTTCCAAATTTTTAAAAAAAAAAATCAAATCAAACAATAAAACAAGCCAAAACCCATTTTACAAACCCAACAATCCATAAGATTTAATCCCAAATCAATTTTAATAAACCACAATATTTTCAAAATAGAATTAATTTAATGTGATAATCATCCCTTGATTGGCTCTGCAACCACCGATTTTCAACTCCCTAAAATTCAGGGAAGTAATATTCAATTACTTCCTGAATTTGTTAAAAATAAAAAAAAAAACATAAACAAAAGACCAATTTTTCATAAAAAATATTTTTAGAATTTTTTAACTAATAAAAATTATTTTAAAAGTTTAAAATTAAGAAAGAAAAATTATTTAAAGACATAACAATAATTATAAGAAATGTAGTGTCTTATCTTTGATTTAAAAATTAACTAAACATATTTGATTTAAAAAAATTATATAATTAGAAAATATTTGATTTAAAAGTTTTTATTATTCTTTGTTTATTTATTTCTTTAGTTGTATTTGATCTAAATTAAATATTTCATTATTTTTTAATTATATTTTGATTTAATTAAAATTCTTTTAAGTAATAAACTGGGCTTTTTGTTCTTTTGGTGCAAATTTAAGGGTTAAATTGTACAAAAAATTAATTTTTGGGCAAACTGAATATCGGACCCAAATCAGAAGATAAATTGAGCTTTAATTCTTTTAAATGTGCCAAAACAAACGGTTGTAATACCTTAATACCTTAAATTATTATAATTACGGAAATCTATCATTTTCTATTTATTATAATGTTCCTCTAACACTATAGCAAACACTAGGGATAAGCAGTCAATCAGGTTGTGGTCTGGTTAGTCTTCTCATTTATATGAGAAATAGGAGGTCTCGAGTTTGAGTTCTTTTTACTACGATTGTTTTCATCAATTTGGTGAGTTAAGAGAAAGGTCACCCCTATTGTGTAAGCCGTAATTTAAAAAACACTAGGGAGCAT